GGAAGAGCTTGTACCCCATGGGACTCTTAGCACAGGCACAGGGAACAGGAGGTACTGATGGTGTAGCACACAGAGCAGGATGGCAGCCTACTGAGTCCACAAAGAACTGGGGATGGTCGTAAATGCCACCTCCTCCGTGAGTAGGCAATTAGACAAACAGAGACAAGGCGAGGAGGCAGGAGGCAGGAGCAGCCGTTAAACCAGCATCTCCTCAGTGTGTGAGCCCCCTCTTGCTGGGGACATTCAGAAGCCTGATAGAAAAGAGGTCCAGCTCTCACTTACAAGCTGTTTGGACAATCAGACACATGCATCTAGTCCCCAAACGATACATGATAGCTGAGACAAGTACATGATGGCAGGAGAATGAATAACTCTAATGGGGAAATCCAGGAAGACCTTTTGGCAGAGGAGATGTTTAGAAAGGTAAGGTAAGTCCTTGTCAATCAGATTCAGGAAGGGTATGCCAGCATAAAGGGAAATCCTGGCAAAGACCCAGAGCCAGTAGAGGAAAATAAACATAGGAAACAAGTCACTTCTCTGCTTGCAGGGATGAGCCATGGGATAGTGAGCAGAAGGGAAATAAATGAGTAAGGGGCCCCCTGGAGTAGGTTCTGAGGCAGGGAGCATGATGGGGCTTTTATCCCTTGGCTAGGAAGCCAGCCAGAAGATGGGGATACTGGCCCTGAAGCTGGAGCACTGAGTGAGAACTGGGTTCGGGCGAGGATGATGAGTTCAGGGAGAGATGCCCTGAGCTGGGGGTGGTCATGAGGCTTCCATGAGGCTGAGTCAAGAAGGTGTCTGGATCTCTGGGTCCAGAGCTCAGAGGCTAGGTCTGGAATGGACATGGGGTTGTGTGTGGGGCGGGGGAATCATTGACATATGCTGGAAATTGGGCAGGGGTGCCAAGGGTCTGCTGACTCTGCCTTCTCCACATAGTACAGCTCAGAGCTTCACTCACTGAGGAAAACCTAAAAACCTAAGTGCAAGGGTTATGGATCTGCTTCTGCATGGCTTTTTAATGATCTTAAATTATTTTCATCAAAGTGTGTTTTGGTTCCATGTCTAGAAAAACAAGTCTAACAAGAGCTGTCCAGAAACAAATGGTGCACTTCAAGTCCCCATCACACTTAGTTCTGAAAGAGGCTGGAGAGTTAGCTACATATTCCATAAAAGAATTTCCTCCAAAAAGTTCCCAAGAGGCCAGACTACGAGTTGCATGTCTCTTGCCTGGATCCAGAGTCTCATAGGAAGGGAATTCTCTACATCCAGATTCCACTAGCAGTGTGGACAGCTGTGTGGAGCGCTGGCTCATCTGGGAAGTGCTGAAGGCTACAGGAGAGGAAGCAGTCCTGCCGAGCTGAAAAAGAGGTTCTGGAAGCCACCTCACTTATCCAGAGTTAAATCTGACTGGTCCTAAACTGTCAGCTTCTGATGAAGAACCCAGAGTGGTTCTCTCTGTCCCTGAGCCTCAGATCGTAATTATCACTTTTGTCTTTTCTTGGAGGCCGACTGGGGAGTGTTCTTTAAGACAATTTGCTCTACTCTTTGTACACAGACCTGTCTTCAACCTTCAATCAAACCTTTTAAAGAAACTACTCTTTGCATTGGCACTGGGGACTCAGTGGTGAGCTGGATTCTGGCCATGTCCTCACAGGACTCAGAACTTAGTAGCCACCTTGATTAATGGTTCAATTTGCTTTCCACAAGTGCTTTCAAATCCCTTACCCTCCTCCAAACTAACAGGTTACTTAGTCAATGAAAATATAGTTTCTACCCAAAGCACATCTGCTTGCCAGCATCCCCACAGTGGAGTCTGGAGAGCTGTGAAAATTGTTGGTGCGGCACACATACTCACATACTCTGCATCCAATTACCTCTTCTCTAAATAAAACAGGCCTGTAACATGCAGCACCAATATTCACCAGTGAGGGGGCAGATGTATTAAGAAACCACTGAGAAAGCAAACAAAATCATGTGCCCTTGAGTGTTTATCATGAATGCAGGAAAATACATTGAGCAAGTCAAATATAGAGGGAGAAACCAGAAGACAGAGACTAGGAGGAAGGAGGGAAGCAGAGGGTGGATCTGGGGACCCTAGTGCAGGCCTCCTGGGAAAAGATGGGGGAGGAGGTACAGACCTGAGCTTTTCTTATGGACTGAACTAACTCCAGGGAAATGGGGAGCAGCTAAGGAATTGAGAAGATGGGACCCCAGCTGTAGTGCTGAGTTCTGGAAACCGTGATGGAGTCACCAAATGTCTAACTCAACTCTTTTATTCCCGCCTTATTTTATCCCAGCCATCACATACGATAAACAGAAAAGCAAATGGGAAACTGTTTCTGTGGCTCCATATTTGGATAGAGCCTGGAATGCAGACCCATCATAAGAATAAGAGGACTTTTGTTTCCAACAGGGCCCTGCTATAACAGGCCATAGCAGTTATGAATATGACTAGCTCCTAAGGGTAAGACTACATGCAATTCAGAGAATATCTCAATCATTAACCAGAGGCCACACTGGGGCCTAAGGATCAGAGCTCTGCAAGAAGATCACCTTCAGATCACAGACTTCAAGAATGTCTACGAGCTAACACCAAGGCCAGCTTGAGAGTGTCCCCATTGGTGTGCATATTGAATCAGATCCTGACCACAGGTTAACTATCATTGCCACAGCCATGTGCATGATAGTATAACTTGATGGAAAGGGCTTTGGAGCCTGACAGTCTGACATACAGAATCCCAATGCACCATTTAATAGCTATATGACCTTAGGCAAATGATTTGAGCTCTCGAGCCTCCTTTATCCATCTGTAAAATGGGGATGATAGCTGCTCTGCATGATTGTTAAGGATCATACCAAATATAAAATAACCTGACAAGTGCCTGATCTATAATAGGTGATCAAGAAATGGTAGCTGTTACTTCTTTGCTCTCAAGAGGAAGAGCCTCCCCATGGAAAAGGAAACCAAGAAAGGGGGAGATCACTTCCAGAGGAGGGCACACCTAGCCAGTGACAGTCACATGAGTGGTGTGCTGGCCCACAGAATGCTGCTGACTGGGGCGGGGCACAGTGTCCTCTTGGGTGAGGCTGTTCTCATGTGGCTCTGACAAGTGTGCCCTCACTTGAGCCCTGGGGACACTAAGGACACCCTGGGTTCCAGCTGCCCAAGCAATGTCCTGGGGCACTATTCACAGACCAGAAGTTAACCCCAGCCCAGAAGAAGAAGTCAGGGGGGACAAATAGAGGGCCCTGGGGGTGGGTTGGGATGCAGGGGAGGAAAAAGGAAACAGGTTAGAAATGTATAAATGGAGAACTTTTTGAAGACTGGCAACATAGAGACACTGGCTATGCAATTTGGAGGAGTCACCAAAAAATTAAGCTAGCACCAGACATTTTCCTTAAGGGACACATCCTTTCTCTGGAACCAAGGAAACTGGATTTTGAAGAACCTGTAGAGAAGCTGACAAAGCCCAGAGGATCAAAACTTTCCAGAAACCTAAGGAGGCCTCCAGCAGGCTCTGAAGAACGGGGAGGTGGCCATAATGCCCCTTCTCCTAATTACCAGCACAACCGTCCACACCCCAAGGTAAATGGGCAGCCGCCCTAAATGTCTCCAACTGGCCTATGAGGTGGAACTAATAAGATGTGAATTTATGGAGGAAAACCATGAAAAGTGGGCCTTGCAAGCAGTTTCTATCTGATACTTTCTGAAAAATTATTAAAATAATCCACCCAAAACTCTTTCTACCATACAGAGCAGCACTGGGCTAATGAAGAAACACATACCATAAAAGAACAAATTACCTACCTAAAAAACCCTGCCCCTTCTAGAATGAGGCCATTAGAAATTGATGAGTTAATTCAAGAGCCTCTGAAGGCCACAGCCCTGATGAAAGTGCACACTAGGAACCATCTGGAGTTAGTTCTGCCAGCAGCAGGCGGGGCTACACCAGCCACCCTGGTCCATGCTGCCTGAATGGGCGCATAGGCAGGGGGTATTCTTCAGAAAAGCTAGGGCATGTGGTTACAGGCCACTCCCATGAAGTACCTGCATTGCGGAGAAAGCCAGGGACACTTGGGGTGCCATTAGTGAAGACTAATGTGCTTCCACATTAGTGGACACCAGTCATGTGACTGTCCCTGGTTAGGTTTGCCCTCCTCCAGAAGTGACCTCCCCCTTTCTTGGTTTCCTTTTCCATGGGGAGGTTCTTCCTCTTGAGAGCAAAGAGGTAACAGCTACCATGAAGTACCTGCATTGTGGAGAAAGCCAGGGACACTTGGGGTGTCATTAGTGAAGAGTAGACCAGGATGCGGTGACACCTGAGTGTTTCCATTCCTCCCAGGGCCCAAACCAGTGGGACTGCTCCCCATTTACCCCTTTTAAATGGCTGCACTGACTCTTGCTGCTAACAGTTGCACAGAGGAGTATACACACACACACACACACACACGCACAAGCACACTTTTGCATACATACACACTCACACACATACACACTCATATACACACGCACGCACATACCCATACACTCAGACACATGCACACTCACAAACACATGTGCTTACACACATACACACACTCACACTCACACACTCTCATACACACACAGTCACATATGCACGCACCTTCAACCTCAACCTCCTGCATAAAATGCAGCCTCTGTCCCCCCCTCATTCCTTGGCCCTACACCTCTGACCCCATTTCTAACCTAATCTCTCCAGCCCTTGACCCCTGACTGCCTTCCTCACCTCACCCTGTACCACCTCTCTGACTTCTAACTTCCTCGTGGACTCAGATCTTGAGTCTTCCCCTGGTTGCCACCTGCTCCAGGTGAGCACCTAAGCAGGTCAGGTCCAACTCTCTGACTGTCTTGCAGAGGGGAGCTCAGAATTCACTCCAGTATTCCCAGTCGGAATTGGGCCTGAAAGGATCACCCTGAGCTTTCCCAAGAGGAGGGTGCTCAGTGCAGGCTGCACCCCTCACCACTCTGGGGCTCTTACCTCATTCACAAAGACCCAGTGGCTGTCCTTGGAAGCCAGGTTGGTCTCCACAGCCTGCAGAGAGAAAATAGAAAATTAACGTGAACAGAAGCAAGTCAGAAGCTGGCAGGCACACCAGATGATTGCTGAGTGTAAGTTTGATACACATCATTCCTGGAGAATTTTTTCCTTACAAAACATGCCATCCCCCTGGGGCCACCTCTGGCTGCCTCAGCTACAAGATGCATCACTTGAACACAGACATCTGACTTCCTGCTGCCCTGCCAAGCTCTCCCATGGCAGCCCCAAGCAAGGTCAGAACCTCCACTTCCTACAGGCATCTCAGGGATGCAGGCGGGGCGCTCCAGACCACCTCTCAGAGACCGCCTGCAAACACCTTTCCAGATTGCTGCTTAGCAGGATTAATCTCATCACTGCCTAAGGCTAGAGAATCAGGAATCTGGAACAAGGGATTTATGGCAGCTTGTCCAGCCATGCTGAACAAAACCCGGGAAGCTAGCAGCTCAGAGCTAGGGCATCCATGGAACTGGTTCTTCCTTGTTCCTGGGCAGTGACCCCAACCCCATCATTCTCTCTTACAGAGCTTTGTTCTCTTTCTTTACAGCATTTGCCATTTCTGTGCTTCAATAGTTATCACCTTATTGTCTGTCTCCTTCACCAGGTTGGAGGCCCCATGAGGTCAGAGGCCACATCTGTTGTGGTCACAGCTATGTCATAGAACCTTACACTACAATCAGCACATAGTAGGTGCTTAATATATGAATGAATATTGTTGAATATATGAATGAAGTGTAGGAGAGCAGATAGGACCCAGTTACTTTTTTGTTTCTCATGTTTTTATGGGTGCTTTTCCCTCTTTTAATTGGAAAGCCAACAGACTGAAAGAAGAGAAGGAACCAATAGTTTTCAAGCCTGTCCTGAAAGGATACTCACAGCCAGCATGTGCCAAATACTTGCTGAGCACCAGGTACTAAACCAGGCCACCCATGAACTTGGGAGAGAGCTATCTGATTGTGGCACAATTTTATTTTTACTTTTCTTAGACTTTTGTAATGTAATGCTTATTATTCTTTTTATTTGAAAAAATGTTAACAATTATCCCATAACCCATGCCCCATTTTTTAAATGTGCTTAAGTGGTGAAAATGCCCCCATTTATCCCTCCAAATTTGTCCTCCCCCTAGATTGTTTGAGGTGTTCCCTTCCAAAAGTTTTTGGTCATATCTGCAAGTACATACCTACATATCAGACTGCAGTTTTTATTAAAATGGGATCATGACCTCAGGTTACATCATTTTCGACTTATATTATATTAAGAACATCTTCCCTTATCAGCGCATAGAGATCTGACTCATTCTTCACAGATGAGGCAGAGAGAAGTAGGAGCCTCCGGTGACCCAGACATGTGTGGGAGCCAGGTCACTGCACTGTCACCGCGGAGAGGGTTCTGTTGGAAGCTCACCTACACAGGGAATGGACAAGCTTGCCAGATGACACGGCAAGAGCCCCAGGGGAATGCCTGGGCCAGCTCCAGCATCCCAATCCTTTACAGGCAGCTCCCCGCAGGATACCGAGGGTGGGTATTGGGATCTTCCCTGAGCCATGTCAGGAGGGAGGACACAGACTCTCCTTCTGCAGCCTAGAAATGCAAGGGTGACTGCCCCTGTGAAGACAAATGGTGACAGGAGTCCGGACTGGGCTGTCACCCCCAGCCATCATTTAACCACTCCGGTCTCAACTTGTTCATCTTTAGAATGTAGATGATGCTTGTTCTCTCTTGTCTGCCGAGGCATATAAAATATTTTAAGTCCTCCATCTCAAGAAGCAGCACACACACAGAACGGCATCCACACAAGTCTCAAGCCTTCCCCAGAGAGCAGACATGGGAAGTGGCTGTTCCCACTCTTTGTGGGCTCCGGAGGGCTCCTCAGCTTGACCACATCCTCGGATCCTGGAGGACATCTTCAGCAACGCCAGCCCTCCTCCTCATGAGCCATCCTCCTGCGAAATCCTCTTCCCAGGATAAATGAGCTATGTCTAAGAACACACTGGCTGCCCCCTCCCCTAAGGCAGGAAGAAGGCTCCAAGAGTCCTCTCTCCTCCACCTGAAAGAAAGGAGCTCTTGAGAAGCCTGTACCTCGCTTTTCATGGAGCCATGTCCCGAAGACACTTTCTGCCCCTTCTGCAAACTATAAACCAGGTCCTCTCCACAGAGCCACAAGGACATAAGGGCCAGCAGCTGTGTGAGGAGCCCTCCGACCCTCAGACAGGATGAAGGGAGAATCTGTCCGGGTGGGGTCTCAGCTGCCCACCCAGGGCCTCCCTCCTCCCAACACATAGATTTAGGAGCGTCTTCAGAAGCCCGAGGCCTGGGAGGAAGAGGGGCGGGAGAAGAGGACACCAAGTGCTCCAAGGCCCTCTGTAGCATAGCTGGGCTCTGGCTGCCCCGGCCCCCACACCTCAGCATTTCCTTCATGCCCATCAAATCTGCACAAGATACTTAGCTGGGAGGGTGTCATAATGCCTCAGAATGCTGGACCACTGACCTCAGTCTAAAGAGATGTAGTTTAACAAGACTGAAGTCAAAGGCCTACTCTTGGTTTCCAGGAGCAAAAGGGCTGAAGATACTTGGAAGCAACACCACTGAGCAAAGACCCGTGGAAAGGCAGGGGGTGGGGGAGTTGACTATTGGGCTACCCCATTTAATGAGGACACTGCAGACTAGAGTCCAGTCCTGGAGTGGGACAGTGGAACCCAAGGGCCCAGTAAAGTGACCAGGGATGCTTAGAGGATAGGACAATACAGGTGTCCGTAAACACATGAAAAACTGTCATGGGCAAGAGATTGAAATTGCTCCTTGCAGCCTCTGAGAGTTGATTTAGAACCAAGGTCTCCAGTAATCAGGGAGGCAGATATCAACTCTGTAAGCGAGAACTATCTGACCTTCTAAGTAGTTCAAGATGAAATGGGCTGCCTCAGAGTAGGGAGCGAAGAGTTCTCATCAAAGGAAGTACCTGAGTGGAAGGTGGACAGCATGTCCATGAAAGGTATTTAAGTACCAGCATGGAGGTTGCCCATGTATGAGGGGTAAGACTCCATCATGCATGTACATTCTGCAGTAATGATTCACAACTCAGGCTGCATATATAGGAACCTCCTAGAGAGTTTTGAAAAATGTAGACCCTGGGGCTCCACTCCTGGGGATGCTAATTCATTGACAAAGTGATGTGCCTGAGATCTGTGTTGTTTCTGAGCTCCAGCCCTGACTCTAGACCTCCAGGGCAGAGAGCTCTGCTCCAGAATGTGTAGTTCTGTGAATCTGAATGTGTAGGTGCACCTGTGCAGGTAAGAGGTTCCCTGTATGTCCCCACAGGAGCCAGCAGTGCAGAAGACCTGACTCAGTTACCAGAATATCCTAGAGAGCAGATGGGACCCAGGCTACTCTAAGGAGTTTTCCCACCTGGTTTCAGACTCACACAGGAAAGATATTGATGGAGAGAATTGATCAGAAAACCCCACAGGACAACTGGCCAACTTTCCTGTCCTACTTTCCCTCCCCAATTAAGTATAAGCTAATTTGTCAAGCCTCCTTGGGAAGAGGCCCACACAGAGATAAATAGCACTTGGCTGCAGCCTTTTGCAGAGGGTGCAACTCACACAGAAGCTGAGCTAGATGGGGAAAAGGAGAAGCTACTGCAAATTTAACAAGAGCATCTCCCCTCCCCCACTAGTTACTGGCGAGCTGCCGGCTCCAGCTCCGTGGGAAGAGCTCTAAATGCTCACAGCCCAGTGGGCAATGTTGCTCCCCATACAACTAATTCCACTTCTAAAGGCTGTCCTTTCCCTCTTCCTCCCTAGTCATGTCTGTGTCAGGTGGAGGCCGAATCCTCCCTTCTATCTCAGAGCCAGCAAGGTAAGGAGGGGGCCGGCTGGCAAAGCACATTCAGATTCTGGTTCTGCTGAGACAGGGACCGTGGGTGTTGTCAGAGTAGGGTGAGGGCCTCCGGAAAAAACAAGGCAGGATATTTGCAGTCAGAGCAATGTAACTACATGCAAGAAAACCCCCTACTAAAACTCTGTGTTAAACATTCAGCTCTTGAGTCATTCTTCAGTGAGATCAGTTGCTGCACCCCGGATAAAGAAGAGTAGCACATGTTTATTTTATGCTAATCATTTATAATCATGTGTAAGATTCACTTTAACATGCTAAAAGGCCCAGACCTATGTGCTGTCCTTCCTCCTTCAGATTTGATGAAGGGATTTTGCAAACTGGGCAAACTAATTTAGCATGCAAGCCCAGCATAGCACAGTAAAAGGCAAGAAGGATTCCACCTTAAAGATAAGATTGCACTTAACTTACTCTTTAGCAAACAATGCCTCGGCCCACCTTGGGGGCTCAGAAGGTGGCCTTGTTTCCCATGCCCCCAGATCAAGATGGAGGTATCTCAGGGAGAAATCAACAGAGCAGGAGGTTACTTGTATTAAGTTAATTGTAAATATCCTGGGACCCCTTAATGAGTCCACACCCCTAAGCTTTTTTTCATATTCTCCAAAAATCCTCATTTGCCTATAAAACCCCTAGACAACACACTACCCGGATTCTCTTGTTACCTCCTGGCGTGAGCCAGGAGCTCTGTCCTTTAACTTTATCTCTAAATAAAAGCTTGTACCTTGCTCTTCCACCTTGAGTGTTTGTGAAGCTCATTCTTCAGCTTCATGAACAAGGACCCCGGCATCACTGCCACTGCCCAGCTGAGCACCCCTAGTGGACTACCCCACCTCTCTGAGCAGCAGCTCCAAGCCCAAAAAGCATTCTAAAGCCAACAGTGCTACGATGCTCTGCCCACCATCCCCTCAAATCCCATCAGGATATTTAAGCATCCTGGCTGCCCATGTGCGCTCACACCCAAAGGCAGACACCCGTGGTTCAGAATGCTGGAAGCCTGCGTGGCTCTCACAGTACCTGGGAATTTAAACCCTGAGCCAAGGACTGAGGGTGGCACATATACAAATCCCAGCTGCCCTGTTCCTTGATGGGGGTTGCTCCCAGTGAGG